AATTTAATGTTTGAGAATTACATAATTCTTTAATTTTGTCTCAAATTTTTCATCAAATTTGCCTGATTTTTTCAGCGAGCTGGCAACACTGTTCTATTCCATTTGCATAAAATAAATTATTCATTGATTATTATATCGAAAAAAAAATGGTGTGTATTTTAAGACCACACGTCAGAAGTGAAAAATAATTCAAGTTTGTTATGCTCATCGGCGCCATATTGAATATGAATAAATTGACAGAACGTCAAATCGCCTAAGTTAAGTAATTCGGATCAATAGACCTATCTATTTTACCAGACAAAGAGGAAATAATATGAAAACATCCAGTGGCGGCTCGTGACTATTTCAAGTGAGGAGGCTAATTACAGTATAGGATTTCATGAAGGAATTCCATATTTTGTTTTTTTAACTTTACTAAAATTCCTTAAAATTTTACCACTGAAATATCTTGGAATTCCACAAAATTTTCATAAAATTCTTTGGAATTTCATGTAATTTCTTAAAAATTCCTCGGAATTCACTAAAATTTTATGAGAATATCCACGTTCATAACCGAAAATTTCTCGAAAGTCCAATGAAACTTCAAGGAATTTTCAAAATTTAATTTATTTTCATAAGAATTTTTCGAAATTTCACCGAAATTATCTTTTAATAGCCAGGAATTTCTGGGAATATTCAAGTAATTTCTTATAAATTCATCGAAATATATTGAAATTTCATGTTATTACGTGGAATTTTTCGGAATATCACCGAAATTCCATGTTTTTAGCTGGAAATTCCTCGGCATTACTAAAATTCTGTAAAAACTGAAATTTCATGTTGGGAATTTCGGTGTAATTTCATGTAATTGTTTAAAATTCCTCCATGTAATTAATTTAGGATTTCGTGTAATTCGATCGGAATTTCACTGAATTTTCAAGTAATTCGAGAGGAATTAAAATTTAATGTGAATTCTATGGAAATTTCACATCTAATTCCTTTTTCAGAATAACATAATTATTCTACCGAAATTCCACTAAATTATGGAATTCTGAGATTTTAATAGATTTTTTGAGAATTCCAAAGGATATTTGGGAATTTTAAAGGAAATATTTTTCAGAAATGTCAATGATAACCTATAAGTCGAGATTTGATAAAAACATATGGCAACGCTGCTCATGATACAACAAACGTCAAAAAATTGAAATATCAAAGTAGGCCTTGGTTTTTTTTGACAGTCGATATAAAATGGCGTCTTTTTGTTTCAAAGATTACGATCCGAAGAGCCGAAGTATTAAAATCAGTTGACAATGAACGGGTTCGTATAATTCCGGCCCTTCGGGCTCGTATAACCTCGGACTTTCGGGCTCATGATTAAAATAACTTCGGCCTGTCGGGTTCGTATAACTCCGGCCCTTCGGGCTCGCGTATAATTCTAGCCCTTCGGACTCGTATAATCTCGGCCCTTTGAGCTCATAATTGAGATAACTTCAGCCTTCCAGAATCGAGATTCGAAAAAAAAAAACATATGGCAACACTGCTTATAATACAACAAAAATCAAAAAATTGGCCCTGTTTGGCTACTTTTTACGTATTTGCCGAGGCTAAATCTATATGCCCATTGAAATTTTGACAGCTGTCAATGTCAAAAAAAAAAATTCTTTTGTTTTTTCCAAAAAACAAAGGCCGTTTTTTAGTGGGTTTTAGGGTGAGATTTATGTAGCAACAGTTGGTACAAAAAATTCAATTTCCCGTCGGGTTTGGAATTCGAATTTTTGAATTTTCCCGGCTCCTGATTGGTTTGGGAATTTGAATTTTGTTTATTCTCGGCTCTTGATTGGCTTTAAAATAATCTATATCAGTTAACAATGAACGGATTCATTCAGATAAAACTTTTGTCGCACGACACTTTGGCAATATCGACAAATGTCATCTGTCAAATTTGACACATGTTCAACTTTTTCTCCGCTCTACTATAAAAGCTACGAAAATCAAACCCCGATACAAGGCAGTTTCGCGACGCTAACTATCGATTTGTATAAAAAAAAATTGACAGCTGTCAACGTCAAAAAAGTTTTTTTTTTTTATTTTGTGAATTTCGAGAAAAAAAGTTATAGAAGACGATCCCCGGACCCCAAAAACCTTAAATATAAATTCCAAAAAAAAAAAAACAATGAAAATGACATTCCAAAACCTACTTGATAAAACTAAAGTTTTTCTCACTTACCCCGTTAAAACACTGGAAATTTTTGGTGAAATGAAGAAAACTCAAAGTCTCGTACTTTAAATCAGTTGTTCCGACCAGAAAAGCCCTAAAAAAGCGGACAAATTCAAAGAAAAACCTCTAAAAATGACATTCCAGAGCCTACTTAATGAAATTTGAATTTTTGTCACTTACCCCATTGAAAAACTGGAAATTTTTAGCATAAAATGTAGGAAATTCAAAGCCTCGTATTTCAAATCGGTTTTCTTGACTGAAAACGGCTTGGAAAAGCGGAAAATTCGAGGAAAAACTGGATAGAAATGTAAATACGTCAATTAAAAATTGCCGACTGTCAAAATTGGCAAATGACATTTATTACAAAACCTATTTGAAGTTGGTACAAACGGTGTTGCCACATCAAAACTTAAAAAAAAAAACATTTTTAATGGGATTTTGTTATTTATGTCATTACAAAACTGGACATTTTTGCTAGAAAATGAAGAAAACTTAAAGCCTCGTATGTTAAATTGCCTTTTTCCATTGAAAAACCCCGGAAAAGTGAAAAAATCGAGGAAAAACTGGCAAAAAGTTTCAAGGCGTCACTTCAAAATGGCCAACTAAAAACAACGTTGCCACATCTCATTTTGAAAAACAAAAATAACATTTTAAAAGGGTTTTTTGTTTAAAATTCAATTTAATAATTAATTAATAATGATTATAATAATTAAAATACTCCAAATAAATCATAGGAAACTTGTTTTTAGTTTTTAATGAAAATGACATTACAAGGTTTCCTTATTGATTATAGTGAGTAAGACAAAGACAATGATAAAGTAGTATATGTTTGCAAAAACCACCGTTTTCTGAAAAAAGTAAAAATCTTAAGAAAACCAAAATTCCAAAGTCAATTTGATAAAACTAAAGTTTTTGAATATTCCCGGCTCTTTGATCGGACGCTAAAAATCGCATTTTAAATATTCTCGGTTTTTGATTGGTTCTAAATTATTCACTGACCAATAGAATTATAGACTGAGTCCCGTGATTAAAATAACTCTAGCCCTTCGGACTCGCGTATAACTCCGGCCCTTCGGGCTCGTGTATAACTCCGGCCCTTCGGGCCGGGTTCGCATATAACTCCGGCCCTTCGGGCTCGCATATAACTCCGGCCCTTCGGGCCGGTATTACTGAGTATCCCAGATTCACAGATATTTGTCGTGGAGGCGCGGAATTGATTGAAATAATGTTGTCAGATTTTTCTAAATTACATTGAAATATCGAAAATTGGAAAGTGTAATTTGTTAATTATTATTTTAATTAGAAATCAAGAATAAAAAATTGAGATTGAATTTTCAATTTTTTAGGGGAGGTTTAGCCTCCCCTGCCTCCTCTGACGAACCGCCACTGAAAACATCATTAGATAAAAAAAGACACAGAACGCTCATTGCGCAAGACGAGGCAAAACGTACCAAATTATTTTAGACTTACGCATAGCAGTCCGTTCTTCTTATTTGGACGGGATAAAAAAGAAAGGAGAAAGACGAAAGACCGCGTGTTGTGCAACGTATTTGACAATGAAAATTTCAAACAATTTTTGAATGTCACTTTGTCAAGCTATGTCAAGTTAAATATCAATCGTACTTTTATTCTTGTCAGACCACGGGCAATGAACAAGGACACGAAGATGCCCAGCGTGCAAAACGAAAATCTCTCACCTGTACTAGTTAGCCAATAGAAAGGCATTGCCTTGTGTTGCGCGCGCATACCAGGTAAAAATAGATAGGTCTATTGATAATTCAAGATGGCGACGTGGGCAAAAGCAACTTGACCGCGAGGGTTTCTTCACATTCAGTTGCATTTGATTGCAATTTGAATGGGAGTTGAATGTAAACATGTCTTTACGGTTGTCAGTAGTATTATTTCCCCGGCGCCGTGTTGAATTGAGAAAACGTCAAATCGCCCTTCTGTGGCAAATAGATGACGTCATCAAGTGGTTCTTATGGAGATTTGGATTATGTTTAGGTATACAGATGACGTCATAAAAGTTAACAGCCTCTTTAAAAACAACCTCGATCCAAACCACAAATGCCAGGATTCAACATGGCGACAATGGTCAAGCATGTGTGATGTTTGTTTATTCTACGTTTTTAATCGTTTAAGAGCCCGTTTATTCACCTTTGTTAAACTGTCCGGACCAATAGAATTATGGAACGATAAATTTATCTTGCAAATAGTTAACAGCAAGTTGAATAAACTGCGCTTAAAACAAAGAATTTTAGTTATTAATTATACATTGTTTATTCAATACTTGTAGATGCCATTATAAAAAAAAAATGTTTTAGGCCACTGCCACTATTGATTATTGATAAAACTCAATGTTTATTATGGGCAGCTAATTGTTTTTCAACCAATTCGAGAATCCACAATAATAATCATTAAATTTTTCGAACGTGATAATTGATCCTGTAATTAATATTGTTTATGACCTTGATGGCATAAAGTTTCAACTTTGGAGCTAAATATCTCGAAAACTATTCAAGATAAATTAATCAATTTTATTTTGTCTTAGAGAGCATTCAATTCTGATTAAGAATATATAAATATGCATTAGAATTTTCAAAATAATAATTGAGTTATGGACCATTTTGTGAAACAATGTCAGAAAATCAAAATTTCCTAAGACAGACATTTTTAAAAGCCTGATATCTCAAAAACTATAAAAGCTATCGAATTAATTCAAGTTTTATCTTAAAAAGCATGAATTTCTGATTAAAAACATCACATTGAACAATATATAAACAATTAAAAAGTCTTCACTTACCTAATTAATAAATTGTTTATTATGGCACTGCTGGAATTCCAAATAATTAAAGTCAATTCCTTCAAACAAACAAAACTTAATTAAAACGTAAATAACAACAAATAGTTTAAATGTCCGCAGGCAACATTATTGTTTTCATCTCCGCACCACTGCTTTATTAATTGTTTATTTATTTATTTATTCAAAAAGTTCTTGTAATTAATTAATAATCGTATTTTTATTTTCGATCCGATTCAAATTACGATCCGCACCCGGCCGTTGGACTCACAAGACTGACGCCACTGACGAAGGCGTCTCGACGCGTCTCTGGCCTTCGGCAGTTTCCGCGTAGGTTCGTTCCAATAGCGTCAAATAACTGGGAGGAAAAATTGAGTTTTCGTGCGCAACAATAGGGTTTTTGATGTTTTGCGCACTATTAAGATGGTTTTTTGTTACGATTGGAACAAACCTATTTGGATGTGGGAGAAAGATCCTTGCGGCAAGATTGGGAAACCGGATAAATTCTAGTCTGGAATTGATTGGGTTTTCTGGGATTAATTAATTATTGTTGGTTGTTTTTTTTTTGCTAGCTTGATGTCAAGTGTCAAAAATTTCAAATTGAAAGCGCCTAAAGTAGAAAATGGCGGCTCACTCTAGGTGATTTTTGAAAGGTAAGTTTTTTAATTTCGATTTCTTACGAGCAAGGTTGTTTAAAAGAAGAAGGTTGCCTGATAACTTTTATGACGTCATCTGTATGCCCAAACATAATGCAAATTCCCATAGGCATCACAATTGCGTCATCAAGTTATCCATGGAACTTGGACGAGTATTATTTCTTGTCAATTAGTGCGCACCGAGTGTATAAGCATCTTTTTCTAAAAGCATGTAGAATACAAGGATAGGATTTTTTTTTTTTTTTGTACTGTAAGAACAAAAACTACTTTCCGTACGTGTTAGGAAAAATGTTTCGCATTCGACAATGGCAACAATGTAGCCATTTTGTCGGCCATCCTTTTTCAATTGATGGCATCAAAAAGAGACAGATGGATTTTCTAGCAGAAGTTTTTATCCAGTTGGCCATGGGTTTATACCACCTAAAATTATTCAAACGGAAGTTAAAAAATGCCCTCAAGAACCAGGAAATATTGAAATTTATATCCGGCTCTTGAAATCGGGAAAAAAAGAAGCAAAAGTTTTTATGTTTGTCTTTTTCCAATCGATAACATCAAACAAAGACAGTAACTTTCTTTTTAAAATCTTGTAAACGATGTATTTTTTTGTTTATTTTCATCCCTTTTCAATTGAGTATATTAAAAAGAGACGGCTTAATTTTCAGACATTATCCTTGATTAAGTAGGCCAAGTATTTGCACAATTGAATCAAGGATAATACACACCTACATGATTGCTTATCAGCCTCGTTTTTGGTAATCGCCGCTATATTGGTGTGTCACCAGTTCCAACGTCATAACTAAGTCGTCCGCCTATGCCCTGTATATCCGTTGCTATTTCAAGTTTATTTGATCCACCCACCCTGTATTTTCAATGGATTCCAAAATCCCCATATACTTCACGTTATTCTGGAAACTCTGTATAAAAAAAGAGTTTTAGTATTTTGCAACGAGTTTCTAGCAACGTTGTCACATTTGCCCGAGTTTCTTATAGATTTTCCCTAGGAAATCTGGATATTGACATAAACATGAACAATTTCTAAATAATATACAGGGTGTCCGGAATAACTTGAGTTGAGAAACGTGGAACAATTTCAACTACAAAATACATTAGCACTTTTATCTATTTTGCCCTGTATATCCGTTATTATTTCGAGTTCATTTGGTCCACCCTGTATCTTCAATGGTTTCCCAAATCCCTATGTAGTTTATGTTATTCTGGACACCTTGTATAAAAGAAGAGATTTAGTATTTTGCAACATTTTTCTAGCAACATTGTTACATTTGCCTGAGTTTCTTATAAATTTTCCCTAGGAAATCTGGATATTAACATAAACATGAACAATTTCTAAATAATATACAGGGTGTCCGGAATAACTTGAGTTGAGAAACGTGGAGCAATTTCAACTACAAAAAACATTAGCACTTTTATCTATTTTGCCCTGTATATTCCTTGCTATTTCGCGTTTATTTGATCCACCTTCTATCTTCAATAGTTTCCAAAATCCCCATGTACTTCATGTTATTCTGAACACTCTGTATAAAAAAAAACTTTCAAACAAGTTTTAATATTTTGCAACGAGTTTTTAGCAACATTGCCACGTTTGCCCGAGTTTCTAATCGATTTTCCCTTGAATTTTAATTGCTCGTAAAAGGTTGTCTGGTAACTTAGTCCGGTAGTAGCAACCAGATGACGTCATCAAAAGGTTCTTATAGAGATTTCCATTATGTTTACGCATACAGATGACGTCATGAAAGTTATCAGACAACCTCCCTCTCTTAAACAACCTTGATCCAAACCACAAACGCCAAGATCCAATATGGCGGCAATGGTTAAGTATTTGTGATATTTATTCTAAATTTTACATAAAATATACATTGATAAACTGTTAGGTATATAATATGATAGATAAAAACACGATCTGTAATCCGATTGGTCGGCCAGTTATCCGCTGAAGATGAATAAACCGGGCCTAAGCAAAATAATTTTCAAAAAAATTTACCATCAAACAAAAAATCTGTCATTCAAAATAGAATTCTAACGACAAAATGGTGCCACTAAAATAGAATTCTATTTATTTGCACACTTTTTCTAAAAGCATGTAAAATAGAAGGATAGGGATACATTTTTTTTTTGCACTGTAAGGCCCAGTTGTACAATCCATGCTCAAAGGTTTAGTTGAACTCTACTGATACTTGAACCTTCCCATTTGAAATGCATTGCTGCCAAAAAAATTACACTTTGGCATGTTTCTGACAGCAATGCATTTCAAATGGGAAAGTTCAAGTACCAGTAGAGTTCAACTGAACCTCTGTTTGATCCTGGATTGTACAACTGGGCCTAAGGAACACAAATTACTTTCCGTACGTGTTAGGAACAATGTTTCGCATTCGACAATGGCAACAACGTAGCCATTTTGTTGGCCATCCTTTTTCGATTGATAGCATTAAAAAGAGACAGATGGACTTTCTGGCAGAAGTTTTTATCAAGTGGCCAGGGGTTTATATCACCTGAAATTATTCAAACGAAAGTTAAAAAATACCCTCAAGAACCAGGAAATATTGAAATTTATACCCGGCTCTTGAAATCGAGAAAAATAAAGCAATAATAATTGTTTCTGTCTTTTTCCAATCGATAATATCAAACAAAGACAGTGACTTTCTTTTTAAAATCTTGTAGACGATGAATTTTTTTTAAATTTTCGTCCTTTTTCAATTGACTATATTAAAAAGAGACGGCTTTATTTTCAGACATTATCCTTGATCAAGTAGGTCATGCATTTGCACAATAGGAATGTTCACTATTTTTCAATTGTAATAAAAAGTGGTGGTTCTAGGTCCGCAAAACACGTATTAAACGTTAAAACAGCTAGAAACCCTTAATTTTTTCTAATAAATCGAAAACAAAAAAACGAAATTAGCGAGGCTAGCAAAACGACCTCTTGCGGCGAGAGTAGCGCTTGTGACGTCACGTTGCGGAATTATTTACGATATAATAATTGCCTACAATGTATTTGTCTCTCTTCCGCTCATTGTAAAAAGTATTTAGACAATTATTTGAGTTCACTATTCAGGGTGCTTCCTAACATTCAATCACCAATTAGTTCATCAGTATCTTTATCTAAATGCATATGAAAGAAAAAGACACTAATAGTAATAATAATATTAATATTTTTTATTGCCAACAAAAATCGCAGAAGCAACGTCACAAAAGGCTGATCCAAGTAGAAAGTAGCGCCACTGTACTTGCGCGCGCTAACTTGTTACACATTATGACGTCAGCGAGCGTTTCTTGCTTTTAAACGAATATTCATATTTCGTCTCCGTTTTTCTCATAGAAAGAATTTTCTGATTTTCGTAAAATTTTGTAAATTTACTTAAGAAACGATGCCTAATAATTTGATGATTGTTAAACGGGATTTTTTTATTTTGTGAACATCCCTATTAAATCAAGGATGATACACACCTACATGATTGTTTATCAGCCTCGTTTTTGGTAATCGCCGCCATATTGGGTCACCATTTCCGACGTCATAACTAAGTCGTCAGCCTACGTATATATCTTTTTTGCCCTGTATATCCGTTGCTATTCCAAATTTATTTACTCCACCCTATATCTCCAATGGTTTCCAAAATCCCTATGTACTTTATGTTATTCTGGACACCTTGTATAAAAAAAGAGTTTTAATATTTTGCAACGTGTTTTTAGCAAAGTTGCCACATTTTGCCTGAATTTTCAATCGATTTTCCCTAGGAAATCTAGATATTGACATGAACATGAACAATTTTTAAATAATATACAAGGGGCAATTTAAACTACATACGCACTTTTATCTTTTTTCGCCCTGTATATCCGTTGCTATTTTGAGTTTATTTGGTCCACCCTGTATCTTCAAAGGATTCTCAAATACCCATGTACTTTATGTTAGGTGTACTGCACACCTTCTTTAAGAAAAGTTTCAATATTTTGCAACGTATTTCTAGCAACGTTGCCACATTTGCTCGAGTTTCTAATCGATTTTCCATAGAAAATCTGGATATTTACATAAACATGAACAATTTCCAAATAATATACACGGAGTCCGGAATAACTTGAATTGAGGAACATGGGACAATTTGAACTACAAAATACATACGCACTTTTATTTTTTTTTGCCCTGTATATCCCTTGCTATTTCGCGTTTATTTGATCCACCTTCTATCTTCAATGGTTTCCAAAATCCCCATGTACTTCATGTTATTCTGAATAGCCTGTATAAAAAAAACTTTCAAACGAGTTTTAACATTTTGCAACGAGTTTTTAGCAACATTGCCACGTTTGCCCGAGTTTCTAATCGATTTTCTCTAGCAAATCTGGATTGAGATTCAAAATTTTAATTGCTCGTAAAAGGTTGTCTGGTAACTTAGTCTGATAGTAGCAAGTAGATGACGTCATCAGGAGATTCTTATGGAGATTTCCAATATGTTTAGGCATACAGATGACGTCATAAAAGTTATCAGACAACCTCCCTCTTTTAAACAATCTTGTTCCAAACCACAAACGCCAGGATTCAAGATGGCGGCAATGGTTAAGTATTTGTGATATTTATTCTAAACTGTACATAGAATATACAGGGTGGGCATTTTATTAGGGGCCTATGTCTTTTCTCAGAAACTACAGGATGTACAAAAAAAATATAAATGCAAAAGTTTCTTGGTTTTAAGCAATGTTGTCAATTATTTGAGTTTTATTTATACAGGGTGTCCTAAAAGTGCTGCACCGACTTCAAAACCAGAATTTTAAATGGAACACCCTGTATGTTATTGCATATTTGGATTCTACGTAAAATTCTGAGCAGATTTCATGTAATATACCCTATACCTAAGTTCAACTGTTTTGGAAATATTGACAGTTGAATATTGACTTCTTGCAACTTTGACAGGCTGTAAAACCTAAACGGGTAATTTTAGATGAAAACCGATTTTACATTCCTATCTTAGATTTTTATGAACTATCATTTGACACCAACTTTGAATTTAACCGGAGATTAAATTTAACTGGAATTTTTAATCATGGATTAAATTCAAAGTTGGTGTCAAATGATAGTTTATAAAAATCTAAGACAGGAATGTATAATCGGCTTTCGTCTAAAATTAACCGTTTAGGTTTTACAGCCTGTCAAAGCTGCAAAAAGTCAATTTTCAACTGTCAATATTTCCAAAACAGTTGAACTTAGGTATAGAGTATATTACATGAAATCTGCTCAGAATTTTACGTAGAATCCAAATATGCAATAACATACAGGGTGTTCCATTTAAAATTCTGGTTTTGAAGTCGGTGCAGCACTTTTGGGACACCCTGTATAAATAAAACGCAAATAATTGACAACATTGCTTAAAATCAAGAAACTTTTGTATTTATATTTTTTTTGTACACCCTGTAGTTTCTGAGAAAAGACATAGGCCCCTAATAAAATGCCCACCCTGTACACTAATAAACTGTTACGTATACAATCTGACGTTTTTGTTTGCTCGTTTCATATCAAAATGTCAAATGTCAAAAGTTTTGAATTGAAAGCGCTTAAAGTGAAAATGGCGGCTTACTCTACTGGACTTTATGTAAAATTAAATTTGCAATAAAAATGGGGTGATTTGACGTTCTCTCAATTCAATATGGCGCCGTGGGATTAACTCACATGACAACCGTAAAGGCACGTTTGCATTCAATTCTTATTCAAATTGCAATCAATTGGAATTTTATGTAAAAGCACCTTCACAGTCATCAAGTTTGTTATGCCTACGTCACCATCTTGAATTATCAGCTGAGTCGAATTGCCTAATTTCTTAAAGCAAATAAAGTAACGTCGTAATAAGTAGAATTGATGTCATATGACAAATGTCAAACATTTTAATAGATAACAGTTGACAACGTTGTTAAATAGGAACAAATTTTGATCAAAATGGCGTAAAACTGAAAAATTCAGTGTTGCCAAGGTTTAAATTTGTTCAATAAAAATGGTTGCAGAAAATGACAGGGAAGCTAAAAAATGCAACAAAGTTAATTATTTTTGAATTAAAATGGCGGTAAAATTACAACTTTCGTTTTTATTCAATATTTTTTCGAATACATATTTTGAAAAAGCAAGCCTTGGAATCCGAACGTTTGGCAACTCTGAAATTAATCCAAATTATCTCATAGAGGTGTTGCCGTATCTCAATTCATACCCAAAAATGACATATTTTTGGCATTTTTAGTTGTGCATTTGTCAAGTTTTTAATCTAGAAAGCTTCAGATGACATCACTTTGACATTTTTCCATCCGTTTCTAACCTAGAAAATGTTATTGCCTGAACTAAACATATTTTGAAACATTTATTTACTGTCAAAATTTGTATGTTATACCGGGAGTTCAAATTGGGGTTAATAATTTTTGCACTACTTTTTTTTTATCGCAACTGTACGTTACTTGAGATGCCCTTCAACGCTATACAAGGTTCTAACACGATAAATTGATATTTAGGTAATATTAACTAATCAAGGTCATGGCCAAGGTTACGGTCAAAGTTAAATTTTATTGAAAAAAATGTAGCTTAGCGTCCATGTATGTGTACCAAAAATGAATTCAATCGGACTACGCCCTTCCATCAATTTGACTGGTGATGGGTAACTTAATGACGTCATCTAGAGTAACTTATGGAGATTTGGATTATGTTAAAGCACCACAGATGACGTTATTAAAGTTATCATGCAACCTACTGAACCTACCTCCCCAAATAACCTTGGCCTTCTACTCCGATCCCAAGAGTCAGAATTGAAAATGCGGTGTTGCCATATTTCTAGATTTGTATGAACTTGAACGCTAAAACTTTAATACCGTAGGTTGAATAAATAAACATAAAAAATGCTTGACAGTTGCCGCCTTATTGAATCCTTGCATTTGTAGTTCGGATCAATGGGGTTGTTTAAAATGAGGAGGTTGCTTGATATTTTTAATGACGCCATTTATATGCCTACACATATAGATCCCCTGATGACGTCATCTGTTTGCCATTTGCTGCCGATTTGCGGGTAATTACCCAAAGTTCGGGTATTTTAACGAATCTGTGGGTAGAAAGTGAGGAAGTATTTTTGGTGAGTACCTACTTCTCGAATTTTTTTAGAGACTTCTATCATCGATTATGCATGCACTGTAAAGTCTATCCTTTTATTTATTATTTGCTCGAAGCAAATCCTAGAGCAAGCAGAACAACAACAGGTACAAATAAAATCGCTATATGACTGACATGATAATTTTTGATGATTGCCAAGGATAATACACACTACTAAGGATTGCTTGTCGGCCTCGTTTTTGGTAATCGTCACCATTTCCGACGTCATAATAGGTCATCTTTGCACTAGCGGTTGTAGTTTCGAATTTAAATGATGAAAAATATTATATAATTTTGATCAACATAATAGGCAAAGAGGAAGATGAAAACAAGATCTAAAAACAAATTGTTTTGGAATGGTAATTAATGTAGTGAAACCAAGTGTTCATGGAGCAAAAGCACGTCAAGGCAAGAAAGGACATTCTGCCTATGTCACATTTGATGATTTTACGTGGTGAGGGCTTCAGATTTGTTCTACACAGGCCTTATGGGGATAGGCTATCCTGTAGTAGTAGTGTGTATTATCCTTGTAAAGGTTGTTTAGGGCCGAATTTATAGTTGTTCCTAGGCTCTTCCTTGAAGGTCGTGAGTTTAGAATGGTCACTTGCTATTATTTGACAAGTTAGTCATGGCAATTCTAAACGTTCAAGGCTTCCTTAAGGTCTGAGGAAACCTCAAGGAACGACTATAAATTTGGCGCTTATAGTAACTGCAAACAGGTGACGTCATCAAATGGTTCTTATGAAGATTTGCATTATGTTTGCCTTGTATACAAATGACGTTATCAAACTTATTAGGCAACCTCTCTCTTTTAAACAACCTTGATTTAAACCACAAATGCCAAGATTCAATATGGCGGAACAGTCGAGCAGTTTGTTTATTTAACCCTAGGATGATACACACCTACAACCATTGCTTATCGGCCTCGTTTTCGGTCATCGAGCTTTTTTTGGTAATCGCCGCCATATTGGTGTGACATTATAACTAAGGGCCAAATTACAGTATATTTGCATCTGCAAATTTGCAGTTCTGCAAATATGGCCGACTTGCATATGTGCTTTATTTGCAGAAACGAGCAAATTACAGAAAAAATCTGCAATTTCGTCATTTTTATCGGAATAAAGTGTTTGGGCGCTACTGATTTACCAGTTTTAAATGTCAAAGTTGTCAAAGTGATTGCAAGGACTTGCGGGACCGTTTCACCATGCGCAAATTTGCAGGCGATCTGCAAATGCAATCTGCTTCTGTAATACGAAAAGTCAGACTTGCAGGTCATGCATTTGTATCTTGGTGTTGCAGAGCTTCTGTAATTCCAGGCTAAGTCGTCAGCTGTTTAAGCAGCCTACGTCAACGCGAGAAATTACATTCTACCTACGTCACAACTGGTAATTTGGCGTAGAGGAGTAGGAGGGATTTGTTATACAAAGAGCAAGGTTGTTCAACACGAAGTTGCCTGATAAATTTTATTACGTCATCTGTATACCTTAACATAATGCAAATCTCCATTAGACACCCCAGATGGGTCATCACGTTACCCATTACCAGACAACCTATGAACTTTAAGAACCTTGATACACAGGCCTTATGAGGATAGGCCATCCTGTAGTAGAAGTGTGTATCATTTTTGTATTTAACCTACGTTTCCATTTGATTGTTTTTTTTTTGTTTTCTCGGTGTCAAATGTCAAAAATTTCGAACTGAAAACGCTTAAAGTGAAAATGGGGGCCCCCTCTAGTGGACTTTTATCAAGGATGATACACACTACTACTCTATAGTATCTATCTTGGCTATTTAATGATAGCCTATCCTCATAAAGCCTGTGTGGAAAAAAATCCTCCCTCTCCCCCAGGCCAAATCACCAGTTGTGACGTAGCAGCATGTTATTTCTCGCCTTGACATAGGCTGTTTAAACCTGGTAACAAACCAATATGGCGACGATTACCAAAAACGAGGCCGATAAGCAATTCTGTAGGTGTGTATCATCCTTGAACGTCTATGACGTAAGGTTTTCTAATTTTAGTTTAATTTTTAATGTATAAACATCTATACCGGCGGTTTGATGGTAAATTTTGGGAAAAGGGACGAAAGTGTGAAAGGGGATGTGACGTCATCATAACCCATACGCAGACGCTTGCATTAGATTTTCATGTCAATGAGCAAAACTGTTTAAAAGAAGAGGTTACGTAGTAACTTTTATGACCTCATTGGTATGCAAGATGGCATTAGATATTCATGATAATGATCAAGGCTGTTAAGAGGAGGTTGCGTTGTAACTTTTACAACGTCATTGGCTAAAACCAGCAAAATTCTCAAAGCGCTGAAAAAATCCGTCTATTTTCAAAATAAAAACACACCGTCATAATTCTTTCATATATTGACAAATAAACGGGTGTTTACTTTTCCGAAAATCGGGAACTGGAAGAGGCCAAATCGATTAGGGAATCTGCGGTCCCGGATGGATATTTTTAGATCCCAGAAATAATATTTTGTTTCGGGAAAAATCAATCGATTCGTGCTTATTTTGAGATGCACTATGCCTATATATAAAATTCGATTAATTTTTGCGTTGCAGCTTGAGTTCACTGATGACGTCAAAAGAAAATTGTTATTGATTATATTATATAACTGTCTTTTTCTATAATAATGCAACAACAATAGACAATTCTAATCATTGATCAACCATTGATCGATTTGCATTCATACATAGCTATCTTTTTCTATAACAATGCGACAAAAAGAGACACCCTGGATGTTTTAATGGTTTGTTTTGAGGATCTACTCTTAATCATTTATTGTTTCCTACACTATCTTTATCTCTTTTTAGTTTTACTTATGTCAAATTCTTGGCCATGGAATTCTACTTGTTTTGCCAGTGAACTCAACTTGATAAAAAAAAAAAATTCAATTTGCTTTTTTTTTGACAGATGATAGAGCCTACTATGATTAACGAAACGTATCATTTAGAGCCTTTTGTGGCCTGCAGACGCCATTTTTTATAAACCAAAAGTAACACTATTGATAAATAACATTTTATTTATTGGTTTTTGAGTTGAAACTTTTGCACTGATTAGAGCAGGTTTTTTTAGAAAATTTCAATAAAAGCATTTTAAACTAATGTCAATTGTAGAAAAAAAAAATATTTTGACAGTTTGGGTTAGTCCATGGCCTACTATTGAGTAAATTTTAAATGATTTTATTTATATTTAATACACAAAAAAAAAATCAATATTGAATGCTTCTTTTGGTCTGAATGTCGTCCAAAACAGCTTGCAACTCGTCTTCTTCGAACCGACCCTCCAAAGATGGTATTAAAGATTTGGCCTCCTCAGCAGTCTCGGGACAAAGATTGGCGATGGCGGCCAATTCGAATTTGTGCAGCTTTTTCTGATTCAAGAGACTAGAAAAAGATAAAACATAAAATAATGGTCAAACAAAAAAGAATGTTTTATTACTTTCTGACAGCGGAAATTGTTTCCTTGTTTTTGAATTTCCGGAAACGGTCGGTGTAGGTCAGAGTTTTCATGAAGACATCAGAAAATTCTTGCTCATCTTCGGCCGATTCGTTCTGAGCCTTTCTGTGTTCCAACAGCATGTGGACTTCGGAGATCAGAAGCGTTTCAGCGTTTTCGAATTCTAGAAAAACAGAATCTGAAGTTTAGGAATCAAGTCAGAGCAACTTTCTGAGTCACTTGTCAGTTGGATTGGATTGTGTGAAATTTGCTCGGAACAGTATTTATTTATTGTGTCAGAAAGTTTAAACGTCAAACATCTGTCGGTCGGTAAAGTAGATCGCTGACAACATTAATTCCAGTTGACGTATTGACATTAGATAACTGTTTGATGTGGATTTTCTCTTGATATTTTCAAGAATTAAAAATGAAACTTGACCTATACGGTTTGTAATTATTTTAATGAAAATTTATTTAAAGCAATACAAAACTTAAAACTAGTGATTATTCTAAATTATTGTGAATTAAGTATAGGAAGGCCAGTACTTCGATGCACAACGTGAGCGTTCGGCTGCCATCCATAGGCGCAACTAGGGGGGTGCTAAGCACCCCTAAAGCAAAAATTAGCACTCCTATTCGGCATCCCACCATAGCACTACCTAACACTTATAAAAAAAATTAGTGCAACCAAATTATTTTATGTATTTTTTTTTGCACTTTTTGTACTTACTTACGTCATCGATGACGTCATAATTTAGAAAAAAGTATTTTTCGTTGATTAATTCATAGAGCACGTTCGCAATTATTATTGTTATGGAATAAAAATTTTCAACCGGGGCCGGTATTACCTCAAAATCAAGACTTACCCTAAAGTATAGGGTTTTTATGTTATATTTAGAATGACGTCATCGAACAAGGTCAGACAATGTTGTTAATGTCTATATTTATTCTATATCATAAGGTGACATTGAAATACCGGCTCTTAAAAAATCATTGGAGTCCCCCAAATATATAATAGTTATTTATGTATCAAGGGAATTATGCAGGTGTTAATACCCCAGGGCATTTTTTGTGTCCCGAGGGCCTCCGGCCCGAGGGACACCAATTGCCCGTGGGTATTAACTCCTGATAATTCCCGTAGTACATAGATAATTTTATATCCTACTGAATTTACTGTATTCTGTCTATTTTTATAAAGGAATAAGCCATAAATCAAAATTTCTATTTTTTGTCAAAGTGTTACCTATTCAAGGTAAAAGCGGGAGTTATGGAAATCCTTAACTCCCTTGGGAGTTATGATATCCTTAACTCCCTTCGAAGGGAGTTATGAAAATCCTTAACTCCCTTGGGAGTTAAGACCCTGTTTATGATTATCGTAACCAAGGTATTATATGGTTTTAATAGTTCAGTAGGATATAAATTAATTAACTGCGTATTATACAGGGTGTTCTTAAATATCATGTATGTACAAACGACAAAGGGTGATTCTTTTTTTTTACGACTGAAATCTCAAATATGTTCTAAAAAATTGACTTATTTAAGCAATTAAAAAAAATTCACCCTCTTACATTTTAATTTTTTTCTGCAAAACTTGCAAAGAGAAAATTTCAAAATTTTTCAGTAAAAAATTAATCCAGGAAAAATTTTGAAAAACTTACTTTTCAGCAAAATTAAGGAGAATTCATCCTTTTACATTTTAATTTTTTTCTAGAAATCTGGCAAAGGGAAAATTGTGAAATGTTTCCAGAAGAAAAAGAAAAGTGAGGAGCACATTAATCATTATAGAAAAATTTCAAAATTTTCCAGTCAACAATCACTCCAGGAAAAATTCTGGGAAATTGACTTTTTTATTCAAAATTCATCCTCTTATTGTTCGTCGATTTTAATCTGATACTCGGACGGAATGTGAGTTGGTGACTCCCTACATTAGAACAGGGCCGGCTCCATGACCCGTGCAGCCTGTGCCCCTGCACGGGGCGGCAAAATCGAAGGGCGGCAAAAATTTCGGGAAGAATAGTTGGGCAAAAGAAACCACACTACAAAAAAAGCTTTATGATATATTTCATTAATTATCGCTGTCGCCTGATCTGTAAAAAAATAATACATAATATGTCCAGGTTTTTTCGAACTCTGATCAATTTCAAACGATCTGCGCACAGTTCTAAAGACTGAATAGGTACGCAACTAGCCCTGCGGAGTTCCAGGATGCGGACCTACCCTGTGGAACATCATGTACCACGGACTCTTGAAACTAAGACTACCAAAGGGCGCTACACTGATAGGATACGCATACGATCAGATTGTAAGATTGCTACTAATAGCAATACCAGGTATTATGTCGTGGCTACAGGAGAATCAACTGGAACTAGCAGAAGAAAAAACAGAGGCCTCAATAATAACCAATAAAAAGTTGGTGCCCAATAGAGCGTTTATCGTATGGGGGAAGACGATATCTCCAACCACAGACATTAAATACCTGGGAGTATGGCTAGATAACAAGCTAACATTTGCAAGCCACCTAAAGAAAACTGCGGTCAAACCAGCAAACGCCCTAGCTAAATTAATGCCCAATGTGGGAGGCCCGTACCCAACCAAAAGAAAGCTACTATGCTCTGTGCTCAGGTCGATTATGCGGCCCCAGTTTGGAGTGAAGCCATAAAATACAGGAAATACCGGCGCTGGCTGGAAAACATCCAGAGGAATGCTGCACTGACAATATGCTGCGCCTACCGCACAACTTCAACAGAAGGAGTACTGGTCATTGCAAAAACACCACCGATAGACTTCCTGTGAAACAGGCCGCCGAAATATCGGTCGCCGGGGAAGAGAAAGAGGCATTACGAGCAGAACTTAGGATCAACCTAGTACAAGAATGGCAAAATAGATGGGAAAACGAAAAGAAGGGCAGATGGACCTATACACTAATTCTAATTTGGTTCACATGGGTAAATAGGCCGCATGGCGAAACGGACTTTTTATTGATGCAGATGTTGACGGGTCACAGCTGTTTCAGGGACTGCACATACATGATCAATAAGACCACGGATAATGAATGCGTCTACTGCAGAGAAAGGGAGATGTTGAAAACACATTTTCTCATGCGGGCACTGGAAAAAGCAACGGAAGACTTGCATCGAAAAAAAAGGACCAATCACACCCCAAAACATCAGCCACAAAATGATCAGCAAAGTCGAAAACTGGAACGCAGTCAAAGAAATGGCCAACGCAATCTTGAAAGTGAAGACAATGGAAGAAAATACATACAATCAAGAAATGCCAACGACACCAACAATGGCTACACATGACCAATACGTAATTTACGTAGCTTCCCCTGAGGTAATGCTAAAAGGCGATTCCAGGAGTGAGGAAGAAACCTGCGATGGAAGAGGGGAGTTTTTTAGTTGGTAGGCAAAGAGAACTTCTTCCCTTTGAATTATCCAGGATGGTTCGCGAACAGTTCGAAAAACGAGAACCAAAACGACAACCAGAAAACACCTACTGCTAGCTAGTTTCACGCGTCCGGAAGCGTTTGCAGGTTACGTTTTGGTGTTATTTGAGAGTTGCCGCAATTGTAAGTTGCATTAAAATAGTATAGTGATAAAATTATTCCATGAAAAACTTAAAAATTATAAAAATATATAGTATCATATAAGGACACTGGACAATATTAAAGTCAGGGCCGATCCTAGGGTATCGGCCGCCCGCGTGCAAAGAACATTTGCGCCGCCCCATAGAGATATAGCACCCTCACGTAGGTGCCGGTGGTGGTAGCATGCCGCAGGCGCCGCCGGAGGCAGAAATTTTTTTTTTGCGTGCCACGCCCAAAAGCTGTCATTTCAAGCCTCAAAATGAGTGGTGATGAATAATGACAACACACTATATCCTAAACTGAATAGAGCCTGGCTTGGGCCTAGGTACAAAAGTGAAGAATAGGACTCTGTGGAAAATCAAGACACCCCAGTCCTTAGTCGTAAACAGTGTTGCCAGAGGTGGTACAATTGTACTAGGTTCTGTACCATTCGTTTTGAAAAAGTACGTTGGTATATTTGATACAATTTTAATTTTTTTTATTTTTTCCAAATTCTCAAAGAGTCAGCCTACTGCCTACTTAGTCTAATGTCGATATTCTAATTAACTTGTATTTCTGTATCCAAATTCGATATAACAATAATTTTTGACTCGTACATAGATGACGTCACCAATGTAACACGTAATAAAAAAAAAACTAGAAGCTTCGTACTTTAAATAGGTTTTCCTGATTGGAAAAGCGGAAAATCCAAAGAAAAACCATTGAAAAATTACATTCCAAAACCTATTTGATGAAGCTTATGTTTTTGTTACTTACCCTGTTGAAAAACTCGTAATTTTTGATACAAAATGAAGGAAACTCAAAGCCTCGTACATTAAATCGATTTTCCCGATCGAAAACAGCCCGGAAAAATGGAAAATTCGCGGAAAAACTGGATAAAAAGGTAAACATGTCAAATGAAAATGGCCGACTGTCAAAAATGACAAATGATATTTATTACAAGGACTCCTTGATTGAAGTTAGCCACAAGCGGTGTTGCCACATCAAAAGCATTTTAAATGGGATTTTGCTAATTATGGCAATTAAAAGTGGAAATTTTTGCTAGAAAATGAAGAAAACTCAAAGCCTCGTATATTAAATCGCTTTTTTCCATTAAGAATCTCCGGAAAAGTCGAAAATTCGAGGAAAAGCTGGCAAAAAATCACGAGACGCCACTTCAAAATGGCCGACTAAAAGCAACATTGCCACATTACATCTCGGAAAACAAAAATAACATTTTAAAAGGGTTTTTTGTTTAAAATTCAATTTAATAATTAATTAATAATGATTATAATAATTAAAATTCCCCAAATGAATCATAGGAAACTTGTTTTTAGTTTAATTTCAATGAAAATGACATTACAAGATTTCCTTATTGATTATAGTGAGTAAGACAAAGACAATGATAAAGTAGTATATGTTTGCAAAAACCACCGTTTTCTGAAAAAAGTAAAAATCTTAAGAAAACCCAATAGAAAACCAACATTCCAAAGTCAACAATAAAACTAAAGTTTTTGGATATTCCCGGCTCTTTGATTGGGCGCTGAAAATCGCATTTTGAATATTCCCAGTTTTTGATTGGCTCCAAATTATCCGCTGACCAATAGAATTATAAA